ATTACCTTCATCAGTCTATATTCCTCTTTAGAAATCTTGCTAGTCTTGGATCTATATTACCTCTGCAGCGACATATTCTTCTCCGTACCGAGTGATAATTCATGAATCAAATGTCCCACCAGGAACTTTATCGCACAATACGTAACCATAATCATACATCAACTCCCACCGCAGCAAGCATCGGCCATCCACAGATCAAAGCACAATTCTTTACTACACGTTATTATGAACTTTATTTTCTCCGAAGTCTAGCATAATCTCGACATACACACACGCCTCCTAAATAACTAAATAAAATAAAAATTATAATCGCTATACACGAACCAAAATCTTATTTAAACAGGAAGGTGAAATTTAAAAACGAAACGAAAGAAATACATTAAAAATTACTCAAAGATTCACTACGGCCCTTTCATCCTCAATCAATGCTCGTCGTACTTCTGAACATCTGTCTTCTCCTATCCGTCTTTTGATTCCACTCTCGATCCCTCACATCCTCATCCATCGTCAGATAGCCATCCGTTATCGATGAGAAGCGATTACTGTAGCGCCTCCACATGCTATTATCCACCGTGACCATGCTCATCTCCCGGTCTTCTTCCTCAGCCTCGAATATTGATCGTGGGTTGGGGCTCATCATTGCCGTTGGTGGCTGATGGTCACCATCATCGTCCTGGTTTTGGTATCTTCCTACTACAGATGACATGATGGAGGAGGAGGACCTCCCTCTTGCTTTTCCAGCAAAGAAACCGACGGGCGAAAAGTTATTTTCGGCACGGGTATCCATGCTATAGAAGTTCACCATGGATAGCGTGGGCGAGTAGGTGCTTTCGTGCATCTTCCGTAACGAGTCTGTCGGGGGTAAATCCACCACATCATTGCACTCAGAGATTAATAGGCCTACGTTAGATTGGAGTGGAAAATCATATTCGCTTTGTGAGAAAGCGGTACGTGTCGGCGTGGGCGGTATCACTTGTGGGTATGCAGGCTGGAAGGTATCCGAGATTACGAATCTCGGGCGGGTTGGGAGTGAGCAGGAAAAATGGCGAGTCGACATCTCTTGAATGGTCGGGGACTTAGTGTCAATATCTGGGGCATCGAGGAATACATCGTGATATGCTGATTCAGATACATTTACAGAGGAGGAAGAAGTCGAAGTAGAGAGAGACGAAGATCGAGTGATCAGTGGTGATAATAGAATACCAATCTTTCGACCTGGCGGCTTTGATGGAATAGAGAGATCTGAGGTTTCCACAGGTAGCGTCTTTAACTCCGAGTCTTCATCGTTGATTTTTTTTCGATGAGAAGGAGACGTTAGACCCGAGGGCGGTAAGTCATCACAAGAATGACCTAACGAGCTGTCGATCCTCAACTCCCCACCACCAGCCTTTCGCGGCGTACTATGATTACTATACTCTAGAACCGATGAACTCGTGGAGCTGACACTAGAAATCGAAGCACCATCATCATCCTCGGTGACACTGCTGAAGCGGCACCTCGTGTTATAGTTTTGCTTTGGCAATGAAGGAATTGGTGCTGTTGGGCAGCACCGTGGTCCCTGAAAACTTTGCAAAGTACCAGAATATCGTATTAAAGGTCTTGGAGGAGGTTGCGGCACCCCTTTCATATCTTGGACAGTGTAGGAATCTGAGAAAGAACGACGACTGCCAACACCTGGGAGAAAAGAGTATACACTTGTACAAGTTACTGTGCCGTGGTATTCATTAAGCTCGTTCGTAGATATTATTGAATTAAAGCGAGCTGGTGGAACTGGTGATCTCTGAACCATGTGGTGCTGGTGGTGAGACGTCGAGAGGAGATATGGCGGTAGTGGAGACAATGCTGATATAAATACGGGCGAAGGTGGTATGGATGAGTATGATGAGTATATAGATGCACGATCAGCACCCAAAGTAGGAGACGAGAAAGAGCGGAGGGATGTCCTATAGCCTGGGGGGGTTGGACGCTCGAGCACATCGTCGTCAGACGGGTCATGGATCTGCGCCGCTGCTCCTATGCGGAGAACACTCCTTGATCGTGAAGGCTGAACAAACGATGCTGGATGAGGCGGCAGATTCATGAACGATTGATCACAGAAAACCTGGTCTTTCCAAGTAATGTGCTTGTTTTTCCTTCCTTTACAACTATTATTCCTGCAAATATGGTTCGACGATTTGAGACTTGACGGCTGCAATGACAGTCCTGGCAATACTGGTGGTTTCTGTGATAGTGGCATCTCCTTACTAGCACCAGTGTTGGGTTCAAGACTACATGAAGATGTCATGGAATCTCCAAGCTTGGAACTTTCTCGGCCACTGATGGAGTTTTGACGATGGCGGCCGATACGGCGTCGACGACAGTACAAGAGGATCCCCATAGAAAGGGCCGCAACAATTGCTACCGCACCGCCTGTTGCTAATCCGGCGATAACAATTGGTGATAATGGACGTCCATCTCCTCCAGCTCCCGCATCTTCTCCCATTATCCCCAAAGTACTGTGATTATAAGCTGTCGGAGTATGCTTTGGCGCTGGTACTAATGTTGTATATGCTGAAACGGCGGCACCCTGGGCTTCTGGAGAAAATGGTCTACCGGTTGGCTGGCTTTCCCGGAATACAAATACCGAGTCGCTGCTAGCGTGATGGGCTACCATGGTTGATGCTATTTTATATCTTGGTACAGCGACTCAATGGTGGTAGGCAAAGGTTCTTTATTGAGTGCCGGATTACCTTAGAAGAATGAGTTATATACTTTATCTGAGATTGTATATGTTGGTGATTCATTCATCTATATACCAACCAATCTGTCTATACGTCCTGTTAGTGCTGGGTCAGCTGACAGTTAATCATGGGTATTCACCTCTGTGGGTATAAAATCTGCCCAGATATTAAGCCCTCCGATAATTAATAGCTATAGGATGCAAAGTGGATAATAAAGAGTGTAATTTACTGCTGTAGTATCTATAGATTTAGGGGGAAAAGAACTAGAAAAAAGTTGTCAAAAGGAACGACTGATTACGACAAATGAGTGTGGTATTTCCAAACAAGAAGCAGCGGAGAAAGGACTGTGGGTTGTTCGCGGTCAAGGTTGCAATTTTTGTCGATTATGGGACTAATGACGGAGAGAGGGCCAAATATGAGTACAAATATAATAATAACAACAGGGGATATAAAGAGGATCGAAATGTACTCCTCGAGACGTCTCATTAGGGTAGGACACGTGACAGCTACTGCGGAAATTTATATCTACCTGCTTTCCCACACTAAGAAAGCTGATCATCTGCTCGGCCAGTAGATTATCTAGGAGAGAATGCACATATACGTCACATCTGTAATCTTAAGGGAAGTTAACCTCGTTCCTTGAGGGCTACAAGACAAGTGCTAATTCCTTTGCAAGGTAAGGGTTTCCGAGCAATTGACTCGCGCAATTCCATACAAGAATGTGAATGAGCCAGAATGAAGTCAGCATTAGATAAGGAATGGCTTTTTCTATTTAACAAGTTGAACTCCATTTCCTAAGGAACGGTTGGATACCACTCAGCGTTCTAAGCTATAACTCAATTAGCCCATCCCTAATCTCCTCTGAAGTTTGAATAGAAAAAAGCATATTACAGAAACAATCACAAACGAAAGATAAAGCAACGCAGCCTCATGGCCACACTCGGTGGAAGGTTACCGTTAGCCCGGGCAGCACAAACTCCGACCCCACACGTGCTAGTAATAAGCAAGCATTGCGGAATCTCGGGGGACCCGGCTTTTGTATTTCAAAGCATGTGCATGCTTGTGGTGACCCCCGAGTATCAAAAAGTGAGTTGAATGGCCGACCCTTACTTATCACGTTACGGCTGTTTGCGTATCACGCATAAAGGGAGGAGTATGCCGATCGCCTAAGCATTGAGTAGCTACATAGTTACATGTAGGTCATTTCAAAAGTTTGGTAGAGGTACATGTACTCTAGATAACATCATGCTACAAGCCTTTTTTTTTCAATTTCAGCGAGGCTTGTTACCGGAGACTTCATGCTGCTAGCCTTGAATCATCCCAACGACGCCGTGTTTTTCCTGGAATAGGAAAGCAATCCATCCTATAGCATTTGTGCTATGATATACATACACACTTGATACGAACGGTGATACGCAGATTCCATCCCTTGCATTCTTTTCTCTCTGAGGGGGTCACATGTCTCAGAAATTCCGACACAAGTCTAAATACTTGTACAACAATGTACATCTTGGCCCAACAAATATCGTGTTAAGTACAAATATTCAAAGTTAAGCTTGTTTCTTTAGGTAAAGATTCAATTCACCGAAGATGAAGACGATATTTTTCTACATCCATTCCGACACGACGCTGAAATTCAAAACCCTCTTAAATTCCCTCTGAAGTAAGGGGTTATAATAATACTCACTACTGTGTTTTGATCTCCATTTATAAAAGTTCTGTACGGGGGAATTGCAAGGTAACTTCCCTTAGTACATGCAGTCTATTTTATAGGAGCCCGACCTATGTTTCTACAGTCAGAGAGGCTTGCCTTAGAAATTAAACTGCATGGATGTTCTAAGGCCATACACTTGGCATTAGTCGGCTTCCCATAGGTATTCTGACCGTATTTAGACCGAGTTCACTCCCAAACGTTTAGAAGAAAAAAATGGAATCTAGGAATTCCCCGCTTCCTCCTAGACTATCTGAAGCATATAAACCTACATAAATAGCTTTCCATAAAGTTTGATTGACTATATAGCTTTTATCTAGGTCATCTATCGCTTTAATTCTGGAACTTCTTAGGCACACATTTATATCAAACTCTAGTGAAATGAAATATCTAAGAATCGATATACATGATATCAAGGCGCCTTTAGCTGGTGTGGTAATAGTGATACACAAAATGGGGGTAAAACTATCAGTACAAAGAAAGACCTGGAGATCCGCTACCCTGTACAGACATGAAAACACCACTTACAGCACCACATAATTTTTAGTCCAGCAGGGTTCCTATCCCTCTTACCAGGAACCCATGCCCTTATTGCCTTTCAACGCTTCGTATTGGCCAATAGACTCATCAATTGCTTCCAAATCCTCGCCCCAAGTTTTTTTCAAATCGAGCACCCAGGACTTTCCTCCCGCAGTATCTTGATCCTTTGGGATACCAGTGCATCCCCAGAAGATAAATTTCTTGACGTTTTCAAAACCTAAAATGGGTGTTGATCCGTTGAGCTCGTCCATGGTCCCAGGAGCTTCAGCGAGGAGGTTGGTCTCATCATTGGATGATTTAAAGGCAGTGAACCACTCCCAATGGATATCCCAAAAGCCGAGGAAAAGGTATGTCAACTTTGGGAAATCCACACCGTGCATACCTCTCAACGGCACCAGTATAAGTTGTGGAAGAGGTGCATGGAATTTGCCATTGCCTGTCACACGATTGGTATTGTTAGTCGCTGCTACCAGATATCTTCGGAGAACGATTCTAAAAATATAACCTACCTTTGCCACGTTCCTTGGAGGTTTCCTGTCCGCGACTAAGCTCCAATCGCTCTAAGGTTTCTCTACTTCCCCTGAGTAGGCTCCAAATATAGGCAGCATGAATATCTTCAAAGGCTTTAACTTGATGCTTTTTGGTCTGTTCGCAGATACTGCCGCATCCAAAATACTTTAACCTTGACATAGGGACCCACGAAATATCGACATAGTTTGGTGTTCTGTACTTATACTTGGCCCCTTCAAATGCCACCGCCATCCCCTCAACCCCAGGTTTTGCCGGCCCATTAGCATAATTTTTGATCCATTCAGTTTCATTGGCGTAAACACATTGAATGAACAGCTCCTCGACTTCTGGAAACCATTTCCCAAAGTCTTTAAGATCATCCCAACAAATCATAGTTTTCGATCCCGAGAAACTCATATGGGTTAATCTGTTATCTCCAACGAGTCTGCTCCCTTCAATATTTCTAAGTTGGCCGTGTAAGCACGATAGAGATCTTAGAGCTTTAATATCCCAGGTTCCACCCTCCATTCTCAACTTTTTCAAGTTAGGCATGAGTGATAGAACTTGTTTAATGGTTTGCTCCGGATCAACCTTCGTGTGTGTCACATCAGTAAGAGAAAATACTGTGATTCTATCGGCCCATAAGCGTTTTACTACGCCCAAGATCGCCGCGAGACTGAGTTTTTTCCCAGAGATATGGAGTGAAGTAAGGCCAAATTGTTTCCCTTTTATCAACAGCTCAATAACTTCATTGATGACTCCTATGTCATAGCTTGCTGTATCAATGCTGAAATAACGGATAGAGGTCGCTGGTAAGGTGCGGATTAGACGTATAAATCCGTCGGAGCTCAATTCTTGATTCTTAAGCTCGATAACCATTTTATTCCAGAGAATAGGTTCGGACATCAATGCGCGAAACGACTTGCAAACAGAAAGGATAAATTTGAGTGCAGTTCCTAGCGGTAGGAACGTAACAATATGAATCAGGACTGCGAGGATGTAAAACGAAACCGTCAGCTTTTGACTTAAGAAATAAAGATGATCGGAAGGTTTAGGTCAACGTACGCTCTAAGGGCAGATTTTTAAATGCCCCGACATTGCTACCTTCATTCAAGCCAATACTCATAGGATAAATGTCTTTATTAAACACAACCTTTCTACCATTTTTGTTGCACCTTTTTAACAAGGCACTCCTGACAAGTCCCCCGCTTGGTATAACTCCAGAGGCAGAATTGTCATCCAGTAACTTGGCAATACCTTCTTCAGCAAGTGCTAGTTCCAGGACGCACTCCTCTAGGTCCTTTCTAGCAAGCGCGAATGCAAGTTTCTCGACATCTGAAGCATAAGTTTGCAAAGCTTCACTCAGGGGTCCACGTTGGTCAATATCTCCATTGAAGCCACCCAAAATATTGGGGCTATAATCCAAGTAGCCGATTCCAATTTCGCTTGTACGAGCACGTTTAACCCTTGGCGACTCTATTGGAGATACTGGAGTCCTGATGATTGATGGGCGACGATGCCCATGGCGGTGTGCCTTCACAGTCTCAAGAGGTGTAAGGTTATCCGGGGTCATACTATGGAGACCATTTCCTTGATTTTCAGTGCGTTTGTTGGTTGGAGTGAAAGGATCAGATGTCATAGTTGTTTGTAGAGGCGGAGGTGGCATATTATAACAAAGTGCCATCATAAGCCGACTATCCGCCGCGTCAAGGTTAGCCATGTCTGGTAGTTCCATCATAACATTTGGTCGTTGATGTTGATCCGCCACGTCCAGGTTGGTGATTTCCGGTAATCCTATCATAGTGTCTGATTGTTGTTGTTGCTGAATTTCTGGCAAATCCTGGTTCTCTTCCGGAAAGATATTACTGTCCTGGGAACCCTCAAGATTATAATTGGGGTACTGTGCAAATCCTTGGTTAATATTTGAATCAAATGCCTGCATCACGAACTCCGGTACAGGGGTCAAGGAAGTTTCTCCCAGCGGCGATGACTCCTGCTGCGGTTGAATGGTATCTCCAATCTCTAACTTGGCCCCTTCTCGTCCATCTAGAGACGTATGCGTCTTTCTCTTGTTTTCGACTTTTAGCTGCAATGAAAGAATTTCCAATTGTAACTTTTGATTCTCGTTCTGCAAGACCAAAGCATCGACCTGTCGCTTTTGTAACTCATTGAATTTTACCATCCAATTGCTATCTCCAATAGGAAGATCAGCCATGGTTGCAGAGTTTTAGGATACTACATAGAGAGTTAGTTGGTATTATAAAAGAACGATGATAGAGAGGTTAGTGCGTATAAATCTTTTGGCGGATGGAGGGAGAGATGGGTAAAAATGATAAGGGAATGTATCGATGAGAAGCTCGGCGAAGAGCTTGATAAAAGCTTAGGTAGATAGCTGTATCTACAGTAATGGATTGAGGGAGTGGGATAAGTTGAGTAGACATACCAGAGTATGTATGGGCCCAAGGAAATATAACTTGCCGGACCCAAAGGACAGTCAAGTCAATGTTTATTTTGATGAAGGTGGGCTTTGATTGGGCGGGAGAGGTGTGTTTGCGCGGAATGGGGTGTTAGCTGAGAAGTTGGTTGGCTGGTAGTTTAATTCTTGCCCCTGTGCCGAGAGTGAGCTCTTTTCCGAGGGTTCGATCTAGTCCCTAGGGTTAGGTCTTCTTACTGACCTTTTCTCCTTGGGCCCCCAGTGGCACTCACATCACGCACCCCACACAATACTTTAAGCTTCCCTAAGGATTAGGTAAAATTTCCGGAGGGTCTGCTCTGCATAGGTGCAAACGGTCTAGCCACCTTTAGCCTTTCGACGCAGAGAGCCTTTAGGTATACGTACATACTCCCTCTTAACCCTACTGACATCAACCACGCGAATTTATCCCTTCATCTTGTTATAACATGTAGATACATGTATTATATTTCCTTTCTTTTTGGCTCATGTCTATGCCCCCAAACGAATGCCGTTTTGATCGAGTGATATGTGGTGACTGCCATGGGATATCTCAATACGGCAGTATATCTTCTGATCCACAGTCTTTGAGATCCATGAATGACCACTATAGAACAATACGTTACGTGTACCTTGAACCATTATTTCTGCTATTGTAAATACCCCAAAACAAGGAAGGGCGTGGCCAACCAACCTACAGAAAACGAAACATGTGCAAAGCCTAAACCTGGAACAAAATGCCGCGGGACTTTAAGCGCTAAAAAGCTTGTACTCGAGAGCAAATTGCCCAGCAAATTCATAGTCATGGTCACAGTTCTTTTCAGGATCATCGAATATCACTCGTTATCACCAAGGCTCATGCTCTATTTGGAGATAGTTCCTAAGACAAGACCATATCCGAAAAATATTGTCGACGGTGTCGAGGGAAGGCGGGAGGGAAAAACTCGAAAGCTGAAGGACAATTTTTTCATGGAAGTGGTTAATGAATACTACATGTAAGCCCTGTATAAAGGGATGATGGTTTAACGGAAAAGGAGGTAATGAAAATCTAAATTACCCCAAATCAGAATGCAGCGAAGGAAAACAAGATGTTGGTACAGTTTTATGGGAATACGCATTTGAATGCCTTCGGATAAAGATTATACGTGGCAGATTCCCAAATGTCCCTTCAATATATGGATAAAAATATACACGCTAAATCAACACCCATCGCTTATCCCTCTCCCTATCACCAACTCTAGCTGCAACCCTAGTAAGCGTTTGTTTGATTGATTCTTTCCCAATCTTTGGAAATTGTTTCTTCAAAACTTCAATCAATCCCGCCTTAGTCATATCACTACCCTCAACCGCACGCTTGAAATCGTCAAGGTCCTCAGCAGGAACTAGAGAAACACTTTTACCCTTCTTGGGTGTTAGTGCCTCTGCACCTACAGCCACAGTTGTCACTTGAGGTCGATTTGAGGCAGCAAGAGGGAGGGGAGGTGGTTCCATAGCAGTTGATACAGATGCTTTCGATGTGCAGGGCTTTGGTGCGGAGGATTTTGGCGCCAATGCAGAAACAAGAAAACTCGTCAAAGTCTTGGCATTTTTCGGTGGAGGATTCCAATAGACCGTTGAAAACGGATCAATAGGGCCAGATACACCCTCTATGATGACAGGTCAGTAAGAATTCATGGTCGCAGCCAAGATAAACTCACCAAGAAGTACTTCCATCTTCATCTCTTCGAACTCTGCCCTCGTGTTTCGACCATCCTCATCCTCCCAACAGAGGCCCGAAGATAATGGCACTAGGGCGGCTAAAGCACCTCGCCTGTTTTTAGCTGCCTGGTCCTCTTCATCGTCCAAAAAGCCATCCATCTCGTCATCCAAGCTTTCTACTTCCTCATCTTCTTCACCATCATCACTCAATAACTCCTCACCATCCTCATCTTGTGCGCCTTCTTCCCATTCTGCCTCTGAATCATAATCATAATTAACATTCGGTAAGGTCTTTTGGAATGGATTGCGTCCCTTGCGGAGACCAACGGTAGTAGGATTCCTAGTGAATGTCCCGGAGTAGGGCGGTCGTACATCTTCCGCGAATTTCAAGAACTTATTAGGTAAACAATTAAGCATCTTAAAGTAGATTGCTGTGCCATCTTCTCCTTTAGGTATTTTCTGTTTCTTTAGCTCGATTATTGGGGGCAGCGATGAGTCGTCTGGGGCATTTATCCTAGCTAGAAGATCTTTGGTTGTATAGCCCAATATCTTTCCTCGCGGGCCACGCTTATGCGGCGGAATATGAAGTAGTTCTGTTATCTGTTCTTTTGTTACTGTTCCAACTGCCGGTACTGTCTCCATCTGATCTTCCGCGCAGTTATGTTCTCTCGGGAGAGCCAGGGCTTTATCAATCGAAGTCTTCATCGTAAATTTATAGGCATCGTCGCGCTGGAAGCAATGTGGTGGCGCGACTGTCACATTAGGTTTTACAAAAAACGGTTGGAAGCTTTTCTCATAATCGCTCTGCTTCTGTCGTATCTCCAGCTCTGGTGACATTGTTTTTGGGCACGTTCCCGGGGGTGCTGCCGCAGCCTTTGCCGGACTACTTGGAGCGCCAGAAGGCTTCACGAAGAAGTTCTGAAGTCGAGTTTGAGCCTGTGAGGGTAATCAGCGGTAAGTTCGCGAATGTATTTCCAGATCGAAATTAACCATACCCTATCCTTTTTAGCCTTTTCCTCGTCTTTTTTTTTCTTCTCGTCATCTTTTTTCTTCTTTTCTTCATCTTTTCTCTTTTTTTCCTCGTCTCTAATTCGTTTCTTTTCATCTCGCTCGGCTTTCTATAACGGCCCGCCGGGTTAATATTTGCTTATACACCTATAAGCTGTTGGAGAAGCTTACCTTTGCAGCCTTTTCTTCCTCTTTCGCAGCCCTTTCTTTCTCTTTGACCTCTTTTTCCTTCTCCTTGGCTTCTTTCGCCTTTCTTCTCTCTTCCATCTCTACCTCGGTCATTTTCGTCTTTTTCTTAGCGGGACCCTTGCCATCTCCACCGCCGTCGACCGCAGCGGGAGCTGTCGGCTCATCTGCGGCTACTTCTGACCGAGCTCTCTTTTTCGATCCCTCTTCCGACGAGCTTGCTGGAGAGGCATCTTGTATGACTGCTGGGGACAAGGTGGCTTGCAATTCTGAAGTTGAAGGAGGAGGAGGGGTTGTAGTTGACGACGCGCTCATGCCTAGTGTGATTACTTAGCGAGCGAGTTCTTTCGTGTCGTGTGCTTCGTAAAACGTTATCCCCCAGGAAGAGCTGTTTGTCTGACTCCTCCTTTTTTATTCTGGGATTGATGAATGGTATGATAATGGTGTGCGACTGGGAATTGGGGAGGTTGTAAATCGCTGAATGGTGGGAAACGTGTTTGAACGCGGCAGGCGTTACCTTGCAAGGTCTGAATTGAATCATGAAGGAAGCGACGCGTTGAACCCGCCAAGAAAAGAAAAGTATGTAGATCCTCATGACCACGAACCATGTACTACTATGAACGACGCCCCCAATCTTGAGCAACAGGGCTTTACACTAATACTACTCACCCATGGCGCAATGCACACCTTCTCCAGATATACCGAACTCCTTAAGCCTCTTTTAGCTTGTTCTTCGGGATTGCACTCCAATCGGGATTTTCGTCCGGCGCATAACTCCCATGGAAACCTAACCGTATTGTTTCTTTCCTTTATCAACCTCTAAAGCATCGAGTACATGTATGAGTCCGTTCTAGTCCATGCAGCGCCAGTCTACAAAGTGAAGACCCTCTATTGTAGACTGGCCTGTATCAAGGAAAGCATACAAACATCTCTTGACAGTACCACAACTTACAAAGCCTAGGCCTATTCAGTAAATATATCTCTTATTCCCACTCATATATTTGTTCCACTCCTCTCTTCACCAGCCAAGAGTATATTACGGATCAATCAGTATACACAGGATTAGCGGTATTTTGGTATGCCAATTGCAACCTTCCATAATTTCAAGCAGCCATCACACGTTCTACCGACTCATTTTCACCCAGGTTGACGGTGTGCTCGAAAAGCAAGGTGATTCTACTCACAAAATTACGGCTGACTGTTTTCATCTGCTGATATAAACCATAATCACTAGAAAATATATGGCACGAATAGTTTAGGCTAGCTTATTCATATAATACCACAACTTTCTATAGTCTAACAATAACTCACGACTCTTAAGCGCCTCCCTTAATATATAGAAGCTTCAACGTATAGCCCACATGGTATCTAGGAAGGGCCGCACCAGCGCATAGCAGGAATGAACTCTCGGTGCCAATTGAGAGCCTGCGGCACTCCTTCAGTGGGTGTCTGGTATTGTTAAATCATTGTCAAAGCCGGGAAAGGTGGAACGGGAGTAGGATATAGACAATTCCCCCCGGCCTTTAATGTCACCTCAAGCAGGGTACTTGGAGGAGAGTTACCTGCCTAGCCCTCCTCAACAGTCTCGTCTTGTGCGCTAGAGGACCTTTTCGAAAGAATGAAATGGTATGACCCTTAGTAAAAAAAACAAATGAAACCAATTAAATATATCTTCGAGTTCGGGGGCCACGCTGCACTCTGCACGCCTCCAGTCCGGCTCGGGATAAGCTGAGATGAGGAGAGAAAGGAAAGTTGGCGAAGGAAATCTTTCCAGAAATAGGAAAGCCCGCTGATAGGTGGGCGTACTGTCCTGAGGGCACATGGTCTTGTGAAGGATGACTCAGCCGAGTGAGATTATATGACTCATACACATGCCGATGAACATCCAGGCACAAGATTTTAAATATCAAAGCTCTCCTTCCAAGATACATGTAGTGCTATTATTATCCCCATAAATGTGGATGGTTAATGTAGTCGGTGCGAGGAGAGGTGGAAAGGATAAGGCGTGTCGAGTCGTCTCGAACCTCACGTCTTGAGGCAGCCCGCAGAGAACTAGAAAAGTATAGAAAAGTGAAAACCTAGCTCCCCCTAAGCTACCAACTACCCCCCTGTAGTAGGCATGTAATAATATGCAGAGTAGATGGAGTCGAGATCACTAAGCTAAATGGCCGAGTACAGCCAAGGTGGAAGATCAGATAAGGGAAGGCCACACTTGGTTTGGCATTAGGCAAACATGGCATACTTCCGAGGATAAGGCTCTCCTGCCCTAGTCTCGTACCCATCCCTTACCAGCAGCAAGCTGCTCACCAGTAAGACCTCCGGTAGGAGGGCTAGGTACGAGCCTACTCCTCTTTAGAATCATCGTGAATACAAGGACTTGGAATCACGTATAAGGTCACTTCAACCCCACTCCCTACAATCTCTCCTCATCTCACACTACACTGCCCAAGTCAAGTCCCTGACGTTCTCTAGGGATTGAAGTTATGGAATAGCTCTGATGACTTCTCGACTAGACTGTATGTCGTCAAGTATGACCTTCCACTACATCTATGCAGGTAGGATTAATTATTGGCCGTCCAGTACAGTCAATTAGTACATTACTGTAGATTTACCATAGAAATTCCATAATCCCGATTTAAAGCTTCAAGACATAGCTAGTAAAGCTTTAAATAAGCCGCACACCTTCCTCGTCGCGAGGTTCAAAATCGACGTTATACTTATGCGTTATCAGGCTGTCGAGAGTTGTAACTTGTAGGTTGTAGGGCTAGGTGTTTCCGTTGTTTCTTGGCGTCGACCTCTTAGGAATCTTACCTGATCGTTAAGGTACAGTAGGTATAAGGACTCCAGAATATAGGTATTTGAGATATATCTCTATGACTCAAGACTCTAGTTAAGGCGATGCTAATCTAGAGTTAAAGGGAATCTCCGAGTCGAGTGATAATCTATGACCAGAACGTATTTCAATATCGTCTGGAGTAACTTACCGTGAAAGAACAATATTCTAAGATACCCGCACATAAAAAAGTCCCAGAGATAACGAGCGAGAATACATTCCAGGAACTAAGAGCCAGTTCCGATCAAGATGACATGACGTCAGATCAGAAAGGTTAAAAAATTAATCGCCTCGCCGCTTCCGTTCAGCCATGCAGCCTAGCTAGGTGATTCCCTCGACCATGTTTCACTCCACTTCCTTCTAGAAGATGGTAACCATGGTAACGTCCACATATGCAAACCAAAGGACAGGGGTTTCCAACCGTTTACGCTGTGTGGACAGATGGGAGAGGGGCTACCTGTGCTGTGCATGCCTCACGATCAGATGTCATCTGCTAGCGGCAGGAACAGTTATCTCAGACCTATCATAGGATTCATTTTGAGACGTTGCCCCACAAGGTGCGGCGGGGTAAAGCACATGCCATGTCTAACTCCGTACCAAGGGGAGCGATGTGCAGGAGGCTGCATATATCATAAACAGAGGACGATCACAAGGCTAGAGAACAGAGAACACCTGGTGTATGTTACTCTGACTTACAAAGGTCATGTAATATATTCCAGGAATGCTTCAAGTTGAGGGAATAATATATAGCCCTTCATCTCTTTGTTCGGTGCAGTGCGGAAAAAAAAAAGATCACACAATCGGATTGTTTGCACTTTCCGTGGAGAGTGAAGCTTTTGGTATCATCCACTGTTACTTCTGCTACATGTAGCTACATATCATAGCGGTTTGGTGTGTGCCACGTGGTGTGGTTCCTGTGATTGCTCGCCGATCTTGAAAATGGAAATGATAATTATACAGGTTTTTTTGTGATATTAGGGGTGAGTTAAGTAAGTGGGTCGCATGGACATTTGCACAACTCTGTTCAAGAAATCTAAGACACTCGTAACCTCAATAGTCAGATCTGAAGCCTATGCGTCATTAAGTCATATTTCACCAGAAACGCATGTGCACCAAAAGTTGCTAGACATGAATCACTTCTTGTCTATATTCTCTCAAAATTTGAACACAAGTATGTACATATATAACAGGTGTTGTTATGGGTCTACTACCCTCCTTTATGGACAGGTGGTGGGTAGAAAAGGTAACTATGAACGATAGTACGCTAAAGATATCTAGCAATGTAGCGGGAATCTCCCAGAGCCCAGAAAGAAAGTCTCAGACCAAGACAAAAAGAAAGAAAAAGCATAGTCAATGAAAGTATTTCTCCAAACATCATCAGACCAGCGCTCACGAAAAGAAACAAGGACAAATAAAATGGTTGTAAAAACGAATGTCAAGAGTTGTAAGTAGCGAAACACCAGACAGAAGCAAGAAGCCCGCCCCCCCCCCCCCTTTCCCCTCACCGAAAAAAAAAAAAAAAAAAAAAAAAAAACGGAGGAAAAGTCAACAAAATAAAAAAAAGCCAGTAAACACCCTAGAACCCCAATATTTGAAGAACCCCCGGTCCCACCCTGACCCCCCGACCCATGAAATGAGAATAGACAAAAGTAAAATGCAACCAGCGAAAGACATAGATACAGCGAAGGGGAAAAAAAGAAAATTACAAAAGAGAATATGTAGATAGATGCTCAAAACTTGGGTATGAACATTTCCTGGTAATCCCGTCAACCAGGTTTATATCTGTTGGTATCCGACAAAGGGGTCAACCTCCTACGTTCTCTTCCCCATACCAATTCCTCCTATGCCCTTGAGATACTAACTCCCAAAACAATCGTAAATCGAAAAAAGAAGGGTTAAGCCTCCCAGTCCGGCCGGTAAAACAGAAAAATCAACAAAAAGCTAGTGAAAAACAACGAAAGTAACGAGTATTAAAAGAAATTCCCGAGTTAAAAACAAAACTTTTTTCACCCCAAAACGAAGAAAGATAACCAACCCAAACGAATGTCGCCAAAGGAAATAACTAAAGGAAGATGAAAGAAAAGGAAAAAACGAAAGAAAAGACGGACCGCCCGCCCCAGAGTTTCCCAGACCCCATCTATGTATGTATATGAAAGAAAGAAAAAAGAAATATTTTTTCGCCCCATCATCACTCGTCACCCGCTCCCCCAGTCTACACGTCTGGATTGGCTACAAACAACCGCACACCGCTCATGGTCATTGTTCGCACCACATCTTCCTCGTTTAAACTGCCTCTTCGCCTGACTGTATTGTCTCTTCTTGGGATTCCGGCGTTGTGGTAGCTGTGGTCATAGGTATTCCGGTATTCAGATCGGCCTGGAGGACTGTGTGAGCCGGAATTCTTCGGCTTATTTCCTTCCTGGGACTCTGCTATTGATGAGGTGGGCGAGTAACTCGGTGTGCTCCCACTTGAGTTTCTATGCGGCCGCCCAACGTTATTTCCATAGATGGAGGATGTCCTATTTGTGTCTGAGCGTATTGAAGAACTACGGTTTGTTTTTCGATGATTCGAATTCAGCGACGATTTACCGGATCCAGATCGCTTATTAAGACCGGGGCCAACGATGAATGTCTCATCCTCATCCTCGTCACCGAGAACCTCTGTGGCTGACAACCGAGAAGGAATACCACTCGGGAGAGCCCCATTCGCAATACCGGGTTCAGCGCTTCCACCCCAAGCTTTCTTGACAGTTGAAGCTACGTGGTTGGTGCTTCTTCCTAATTTCCCACTTCGGCCAGCGTTTAGAGAAGATGCAGCGGACCCGCTTCCAGACCCAAGACCGTGCTGGTTGTAGCCCGCGCTTAGATATGTCCCTGTCGACGATCCAACAACTTCCATAGCTGCGCGAAGCTTTGCAGCTCTCTGTGCGGCCACCAGGCGCGGATCTTCATATTGCGATTTGTCGCACCAAACTGTGGCCTTCTGCCGCCGGAGGTAAGTTACATAGGCGTTTGAAGATGTTGTTGCAATTGAGCTGGCGGTATGGTTGCTCCCTGAGCGTCGCAGAGTGATCGGGACAGTTTGATCCATTCTTCCGTTGCTTGAGCTGTTGCTTGAGGTTGTAGAATTTGAGCCTGAACGACGGCTCAAGTATGTGACGGTTTGAAAGTTATTTCCGTTGTTTGCGGCGTTGCTGTAGCCAGGGTTGTAGTTGGCGGGGTAGCTGTCAGCCGGTAAGGCGCCTGAAGAGGAGGTCCGGCGACGAGCGTGGGTGTTGTAAGAGCCTTGCGAAGAAGCAGACTGTGGGTCGTACGGATTTGGAGCTGGCGCGAGGTTGGGATTGATGGTGAGGCTCTTTGTTGAAGGTGAAGGGTAGAAGGCTGGGCCGAGGGGTCTTTGAGGGAACTGGTAGTGAGGAGCACGGTATTCAACCATCACGAGAGTTTCCGGTTTAGGGAATTTGGTGCGGGAGGTAACTTGTAATTTGTGCGCGAGGGGTGATAAGGGGTGGTGGTGGAGGGATGCGGCGGGATGCTGCAGCTCATACACCCAACAAGAGTTGAAGGAGGATCTGAGGCTGAATCGAATATGACCTGTGCAAGCTGATGGCTATTGATATGGACTGGCACCGGAAACAACGGCCTGGCATGTTAGTCTTAAGCATTTCGAAAGAGCCGGTACATCTCGTGGGGGATGGTGTGCAGATAAGGGAGGGGAAGGGGAAAACCCCATTAAATCTTGATTCCAAATTTCACAACCAGATTCCAAGATTTAGATTGAAAAGATTGGGTAAGAAAAGTGGCTACAAAATACCTGATCCTAAAAATTTGCCCCTCCCTTGCCTTTGGTTCCTGCGAATGGGCGATTTCTCGTTTTTTCCTTCTTCTTAACCAGTTCTTGAATTTCGGGTTCCACGGTAAAGATGTCGATCAAGCTCTGAAGGTTGTATTTAATTTCGACCTAATCCGGGGAAACTTTCACTCGCTTCGGGAATGCCTGCAATTCCGTTGAGTGCGAATTTTGGAAACTTTTTGAAGCTCAATGCTACCGAACCGCCGAGTATTGAGATCCGGACTTCGATGTGATCGTGGAGAAAAGCGTTGCGATCGTATCCGTTGCCTTGGGGGGGAGGGGATGGTGGAAGTAAATAGCGCGGGGGTGCCTGTCCGTCCTGTGGGCGAGTGGGCCAGTGGGCCAGTGGGGCTGGCTTGGTTGATATTCGACTGACTCGCTTCGAGATTAAAAACCTATGCCGCTTCCGAGAAACAGGCCCTGAGCTCAAGTTCTTTCTAGCTCTCCAAAAAGCTGAGCCTCGTTTTGTCTTTCCTTTGCTTTTTTTTTCAGGGCTGGATGTCTGTCCCTTTCTTGCGGGTCCTTTCTTCCCTCAGGGAACAATTTCGATACTGTCTATGTGTGACGAGTGATATGTGGATGGTGTTATATGTGTGTGCCTTCAGAAACACGGATAGATTTATCCTGGCGCTCGGAATGACGTTGTTTCTTCAGTAGGGAAAGGAGAGAGAGATATTGATTGATTGAAGATTGCAGCAGAGTATCAGAGAGGAAAGATAGCGGACTCGAATGCCGAAGATTGTAACTTGCTGTAAAGTATGATGTATGGTGTATGATGTAGATTGGTAGATTGTATGTCCGTCCTAGGCAGTCTGCTGTCTTCCTCACTTTGTAAATTGTTTCCTCTCTCTCTCTCGCTCTCACACGCAATCTCTCCTTTCTCCTCCCTCTCCTTGTCTTGCCTGTTGTTGCAGTATATCTCTTTTCCCCAGTGACCCTTAGGAATAACTTATGCCTAGCCGTCTGTGATTATTATATGAGTTTTCTTTACTTTTACTTTTTCTTTCTTATCTTTTTACCTTTGCTGAACTTGAACTGCTTTCTCGTGCTTTTCTCCAAGAGCGGACCGCGGGCGTATTATTTACCAGAGCGAGCCATGTAGTGAAGCCAGGACAGACGAAAGCGGGAGCTGCTGGGGGTGTGAAAAAGTGGCTCCCCTGCAGCTTAAAGCACTTACTGCCCTATCTACCACCTCTACCCAGCCAAAGTACCTATTTGCCTACCCAGGTACCTACCGTGTGCTTTGCTCCACTTGTTCGCGATAACCTCAACACGTACTTGGAGTTCTAGTTCTAGTTTGTTTTTGTTTTTTTTGTTTTTTTTGGTTGCCCTTTGACGCGAAGGCAGCAGGGTTAGAGAGACTGACAAGGAAGCCGTAATTGGGACCCGCGGATCGAGATTTAGGTAACTTCTTTGAGAGTCTTGGAGGGATGATGGACCTATGACGGCAGATGACGATGCAGTTGAATTGTGACTTCAAAGGTACTGGGTACTGGGTGTGCGTGTGGGTGTGTAGTCTACATATCACAGGTATTTTGCAAAAAAATAAAAAAAAAAAAAAGAGGTTACAGCCAGGTATTTTTTTTATTTACTGTTTGTTTTCTTATTTATTTATTTTCTGCTGAAGGTGGGTGGGTAGTGGGAAGGGATGGATGGAGGGATACATGGTATATCGAGTTACAACTTCCATCCAGCATCTGTAACGATGTTCTGATACAGCATAACCACAAGCAACGAGCGAATTGCGTTCTTGCAGCAGCAGCAGGCAGGCAAGCCGTGACAACAAGCGAGACAGCTTGATGGCAGGCAATCTTGCAGGGGAAGACAAAAGAGAGAGAGAGAGGTACATGGGACAGATGGAGTACTTTTACAGAATGGCTTGCAGTTAAGGCATCTAATCAGATAGAACAGGCGGTGAGGGTAAGGGTAGTAGCAGCAGCTACATACTGCCCCTTCTTTGTAGATATTACTCTAGAGACTTCTGAGTACTCTCCCGACCAGGCTCAATCCTACCCGCATAAGTGAAGTTTCCAACCCCCCCTTCCTCGAGGAAGAGTCCTTGAGGGCTCGTGCATAGCATATGTAACGCCCACGCCGCCGTCGAGATGTTTGGCGAGATGCCTCACCTCAGAGGAGTCCATACATGACATTATGCGTGCCACAATCTCTACCGTGCACATCCAATCTCGTCTACCTGAGCCCACACCTGCACGCAATTCAGCCTCGAAAAAAACTACTCGCCAGATGTCGTTTTCTTCACCCAATCAACTTAACCCTTCTTTTCAGCTCGCTCGGTTAGTTAGTAGAAGTAGGGTGAGTACTTGGTAAGTAGGGTGCTCAAGGAGGGACGAACGCGACACTGCCACAGGAGGTAATAGCGTAGACGGTACCTCTTCTACTCAGAGTAAGAGTAGCAACAGCCTAACCTCATGTAACCGTCTACATGTACATACTGCGGTACTTTACTTCTCTAGAGTAACTGCCTGTCTGCCTACACATCTGAAAAGAGTGAAAGAACAGCCCATCGTATCTCGGAGATGAAGAAGAAGACAGTTTTCCGTGTCCGGAAGGATATGTCTGTCTCAGCTCACTTTCTTCTTCTTGTTGACTTTACTTTTGAGACTAGAGGTTGGGCAGGTAGAGTACGTACACTCGCAACCCCAAACTGGCACTCACGCAATAGTGCGCAGACTGGGAGAAGAGAGAGATAAGGCTTGGTAACGTAAACTGAATAACGTATCCCTCTCACCTCACTCTACTCACGATAATTTTTCGCATGTATGTGGCCAAACAATAATTTGCATGCTACAAGCACCTACATACAGCGTACATACAGGACAAGGTACCTTCCAAGGAAAACATACCGTCATATCACTCTACTTTACTCTTCATGCATGTACTTCTACCAAGTACTCCTCTAGAGTACTCTACCCCAAAGGGAGGTATCCTAGAAAACCGTTCCTGCTGCCTCCCCGCCGATTGGTTCCCCCTCTTCTACTCCTTGTAGTTTACATCAACAGAGATAACCATAATCACAACAACCATAACCTAGGCATACCGTACGTACCAACAACAAGAAGGTTTTTGGCGATTTTGTTTCCCTGTAAACCACCTCCATGTGGGTACAAGTAGGTACTACTACAATGCCGAGATTCCGCTGTGCACCCTCCCCTCGTGGCGTATCAGGGTCGAGAGCGAGAAACCACGGCAGCGGGAGAAACACCGCCGCCTGCATCATCATCTTCCGTCCGTGGTTTTTTTAACCCCCCTTGCCCGTTGTGTGTGAGAGAGAAACATAGAGCTACATAAAACTACTCATGCTCATTTCACTGAGACTTTGCCATACAGGTACCACAGACACCAATTCTACGATGTGGGGTTTCGTGAATCGAGATGAAATAAACAAAAAAAAAACAGGCCCGTTAAATTGTTTTACCAGCCTGGTTCTTAGACGCTTTTCTTTGAACCCCACCCCACTGGGTTGCAGCAGAATTTAGTACTTAGGAGCTCAGATATAGAACACTATCCCAAAAGAACAGAAATACCTGATTTTGTCTCTCACGATCCAACATCTCCCGTCGATTCGATGTGGGTTCCAGGTTTTTCTTTTCTTCTCTTTTCTTTTCTCGTGCAATAAGCGAATATGCATGGCATGCTATTGACAGCTCAGTCTAAGCTGCGGACAGTTCGTCTGGAGAATTTTTTTTATTCCCCTACCTTCCGTCTGAGCTTGGGTGTTTTTGTTTCATTTGTTGTTTTATTTGTTTTCATTTAACTCTACAGAGTCTAGATCGACCCCAGGTCTGGTCTATTCTGGATGTCTGTTTACCACTGACCAGAGTAATGTAACGACATCATCGATAGTATCAGCAGCGAGAGCCTATCGATAACATCAGGCCTCCCTGGACGTGTCTGTCTACTATTACACCTCTTCTCTCTCACCGCTCGTTATCAGCGGGGTAGACTCATGATCACTCACTCTGCTCCTCTACTGGCATACGAGCGATTACACAGAGCACACAATAAAAAATGTGCCGTAGCCGGCCGATGAGAGTGTGTGAGTAGAGTGGTTATTCCAAATTACCCACGTTTTTACATTTGCGCGGGAACATCCCAGCGTGTGAGGGAGGAGAATTTTATCATACGTTGACATGCGATGGAGTGGATGATGATCTTAGACTCTGAACTCAGTGCCATTTGCTTCGACTGGCCAGCCAAACGCTGTGTTGCATCCACTCTTCTCCTAGCTAGCTAGCGGTGGGGCATCGTGCTGTTATTTGTTGGTAGGGGAGTCTAGGGAAGAAGGAGGGGCTAGGCAGAGAGAAAGCCTAGAGCCTAGCACTCTATCTAGACTCTAGTGGGGAGGAGGTAAACAAACTCTCACACACCGCCCATCATTCGCCGCCTCGTGACGACGCGTGGGCAAGTCGCGATGGGGTGGATCCAGTTACGCGGTGGGGTTTTCCCTGTCGCCATGAAGAGAGATCGACATGGGCAAAAGACTCAAACGCCTCTCCATATCTCACCTCACCTCACAGCATACCTACCATGCTACCCTGCCCTACTACCCTAGGCATCCTCCC